AAATGGGGTAGGCAGCATGGTTTGCAAAAAGACCTGCCATGTGGAACAGCTGCTGCTGTTTTTTCAAAGTTCATTCATTTTCACAACAAGCTACATAGTGCTGATGTGACTTGCAGGCATCAGATGTGTTGTTTCTGCACTTGGTTTTTAACAAAAGTCTCCCTTCAGAATACCTGCACTAAAAAAAAAATCAAGCTCCTCAAACAATCATCCAGTTTTGCTCTTCATCTTTCCTTTTCCATGAAACAGTTTTGTCCTCCGGATGATATAAGAGTTTGTCACTGAAATATGAGGTGCACAGCTAACAATAGTTAAGTCATCTGAAATTTCCAGGAACTGATCCTGACCCCTTCCCTCTGTACAATAATAATGCTCATTTGGACATCCATATGTGCCTAGGCCCTTGTATACATAACCTATATGGAATCCTTGTTTTGTCTTTGCTTGCTCTGGTTCAGCCAACCATGGGAACATTTCTCTTTCAAAAAGCTTGCTTGCTTTTTGAAAAGCTTGCAAAAGATCTTTGCTCACAGGCAAACAAGAACAGCACTAATATAAGAGATGGCTGATTGCAGGCACAGTGTGAGCTTTACTTACACTGCAGAAAAGTTCTCCTCTGTTTTTTCCAACTGGGAAACCTAAGTGTTATAAAAAAAAAACTATGACCCTAGGACAAGTATCAGATCAAAGGCTAAACTAAATGCAGGCAACATTAGCTATGAGTGCCATGACACCAACACAGAAAGCTATTGCAAAGCTGACATATTACTAGAAATTACTAGCATGGAAATATAGCAGCAGAAGAAATGCATCTTATAGTGTCTCTCCACCAAGGGCAACTATCACATTCATTCATTCCTCCCTTCCCTGGGCTACAACTCCCCAGGTACTTTTGGCAAAATAAAACTACCAATATTATATTATCATTATACAAAACTCTGATATTGCTACACCTGAAATACTGTGTACAACATTCTGAACTTTAAAAAATGATACAGCAGAGATAGAAGAGGTGCAGAAAAAAGTAACCAAATGATAAAGTGGTTGAAGCAACTCTCTTGAGATTGTAATGTTTGACATTGTTTGGTTTACCAAAAAAGCATAATAGAGATGCCTAAAACAACATGTGGTACTCATGTGCAGGCTACTGCATGCATAATTTGCATAATAATTGCTGAGTACATATTTTGTTACAGTGAAACTTTTGGAAGCCCCCCAAGCATGCCAAAACATACAGGGGTGTAGGAGATGGGGCCGGTGTATACAACCCTGCCCCTAGATCTTGAGAGGGTATGCCTATAAAAGGGTCATGAATTTCCATGTGGACTTTCTAGATACAAGAGGCATTTGTTTCCATTGCTAAGGCTGCAATTCTAGATACAAGAGGCATTTGTTTCCATTACTAAGGCTGCAATCTTATAAACACTAATCTGGAGGTGTGTCTTACTTATGCTTCATCTGATATGTCAGGTTGCAGTACATGCGTCTTTGCTCTTAGATTTTTGTTTTGGTTACCCAAACTTATTGTTTTAAGTTGTGCAGTTGAGGAAGCAACATTATGTAATACAGAGCTCTGTTGTGTTTTTTTGCCCTGTATCTATACAAATTGGAACTTTCAGGACATTCGGTTTCATTATTTTTCCCCAAGTTGGTGTGCATTTTTAAAATAAGAGTATAGTAATACAATCCCTTGCATTTCTTCTTGGAGGTAAATCATGCTGTGTTCAGTGAGACAGGAATCCCTGATACTGTAAGGGTATTTGAAGATCCAAGTCTCATCCTTCACATCTCCCTTCTACCTAATTTGTGCCCTGACTCTGTTGGGCTCTTCTTTGCTGTGCTACTCCTTGTCATATTAGATACTGTTGGGTTCCAAAATCTTTTTCTCATCTCCCTTTATTTTCCTGCTACAGTGTTTTCTGTTTTGTTTTTGTCTTTTCTCAAGCAAGAAGTATATGGAGGAATGTAAGAAGAGATGGGTTGGCTCAAACCAAAAGCCTTTGCAGTCCAGCCTTCTGTTCCTCCTCAGAGGCCTATTGGGAAACCCACAAGCAAGACACATGGGCAATAGCACCCTCCAGTTCATGGATATTTTTATACTACCTTCCCTTCACAATTCACACATCTTTCTTGTCTCATCCCTTTCTACCTTCACAGCTGCCCTGTGGTGTAGGTTATGCTAAACAACAGCAATAAGCCCAAGGTCTATTTTTCTCTTGCTTATCCAAATCTAATATTCTGTCAAGTACATCATAATGAACTTTATTGTTGTTTAGTTGTTTAGCCATCTCTGATTCTTCGTGACCAGAGCACACAAGGCCCTCCTGTCTTCCACTGCTGAACTAGATCTTCATAAATCTCTCCTACTCACTTTACCTAACTGATGGTAAAATAATATGTTTTATTTATTCAGTGTTGCTGGTAAGTGTTCAAAAACTGCAAATAGCCTGCCCTAACATTCTGTTCACAGGAATGGAAAAGCACAAAGAGCAAGGCCATGCCCTAGCCTAGACTGAGTGGTGCACATAGAATAGTAGGGCACTGGAAGTAGTCTGCAGAGTTGGATGCTCTGTTTCATTTCTGTTTCCTCCCAGCTTTCCCCCCTTCTTTTCAGCCACCATGAAAGAGTCCCAGTTGGCTTCCTAAGGCAGCCACGAGGAAGGGAATGAGTGAAGGGTTTAAGAAGAGCAGTAGTTGGCAAAGCCACATTAAATTCTGCCTTTAAAGGATAGCACACTGAATGCAGGGCATCTGCACTTCTTTCATTTCTGTCCCTTCCCTCTGCCTTCACCTTTCCCATTCCCTGGATCTGACATCATTGGTTCCTTGTTACTGTCTCTGGGCTTTCTTTCATTTCCATCCTGCAATCATCCTGAAAACATACAAATATGCCTTTCTATTTTTTTACACTTGTCTACATAATATAATGTTGAAATATTGACTAGTTAAATTAATGAACTTTTCTGAAGCAGGGTCGTACAGTCCCAAAAGCCAGGTTGTAAAAAAGTCAAGATTTTAGAGAATGGATACAGTGGGCTGCCCAGAAAGACAAACAAGTGGGTCCTACGTAGATCAAATCAAGGCCGAGCTCTCTCTCAAATAAAAAATGACTAAACTGAGGCTATCATACTTTAGATTTACCATACAAGGACAAGCATACAATAAGGCTGAGAAACGTTGAAGAGTGCAGGGGAAGAGGAAAACCAAATACAGTATGAGATGGATTAACTTCAATAAAGGAAGACATTGCCTTGAGTTTGAAAAATGGGAAGAGGCTGTTAATGATAGGACATTTTGCGTGTATGTGTTTTGTGCTGTCAAGTCAGAACTGACTTGCAGCAACCCTATTAGGGCTTTCAAGGCAAGGGAGATATTTAAAGAGTGATTTTACCAGTTTCACTCTCCCAGTCAGTTTCCATGCTAATCAGGGATTCAAATTCTGGTCTTCAGAGTCCTAATCTGTCACTCTATCCACTACACCACACATTCTATCCACTATACCACACTCTTTAGACTAGAGAAAATGAATCATCCAGTCGACCCACTCCTGCTGTGCTCCAGAAGTCGTGTGACTATGCCACAGTGCATCATCTGTGCCCCAACATAGATGATCAAAACCTAGGGGTACTCATTTGTGAAGGGAGGACATGACATTCTTTTTATCAGCTCCCCTTACTACCCTTTTCCTTCCCTGAAAGCGAAAATAATGTAAATTTCATCATGTTTTCCCATCATGTTTGAAGTCTACACTCTCTAAGCCAAAATACCTTATTCCTCAGGGTGATTTACAGGATTTCATTGAGGAATTTTACTTTAAACTGTGAAACTGTGGGCTTAACATCTGGCAGAATGGGTTTGGGATTTTTAAACTTCCTTCCCTCACCCCCTCCCCTGGAATGCTTGGTTTGGCCTGATGAAGAAACCTGCTGGACTCAAAAGCTATCTAGTCATTGACATTTTAGTTATCTGTTAAAAGTATTGTGCACTCTTATTTTGTCAATATAGGAAACTACTGTACAAAAACTTGATCCTAGACATAACACAATACTGTGTAGTGGTTAAACTGTTGAATTTGGGAGGTTCAAGTTTCACATTCTCAGGAAGGCTTGAAACTCACTTGGTGACCTTGGACTTTTCAGTCCGACCTACTTTTCAGAGATTATGCTAAGGATAATGTGAGAGGAAAGCCAAGCTGCCTTGAACTCATTGAAGGAAAAAGTGGAATAGAAATGCGGCTAGTAAACAATAATACATTTATTCGCGAATACAATAATACATTTAACTCTACCGTGCTCCCCTGAAAATAAGACAGGGTCTTATATTAATTTTTGCTCCAAAAAATGTATTCGTGCTTATTTTCAGGGGACTTTTTAATTTTTTCATATACAACCATCTACATTTACTCATATACAGTCATGTCATCTTCTTCTGGCTGCTGCACAATGATGGCAGTCGGGGTTTCACTTAACTGGGGCTTATTTTGGGGGTACAGCATATTAGGAGCATCCTGAAAAATCATATTAGGGCTTATTTTGAGGTTAGGTCTTATTTTGGGGGGAACTGCTTGCTGTTTAAGTCAAAAGAAGGCTAAAATAAATATTGGGGGGGCAGGGGAAAGGAACTCTTGTCTAAAGTACGGATAAATAAAAGGAACAATCCCCAGGGAAAGAGCTCAGCGTCCTGAACATCCGACACCCACACCCCGAAAAGTCATAATAACGATCCCTTAAAATCGCCTTCCCGTACAATGGGGGGTGGGTGGAGGAAAGGTCACGTGCTGTTCCGGAGCGTCACTGTTCTCACAGCGCCCCCTAGAGGGGCCTATTCAGAGACACTGCAGCTGTTGTGGTGCTGGTGTCACATCGTGGAAAGTCCCTCGCCCTTGTGTGAGTCTAATGGACGTGGAAATCCCCAGGTCCATTAGACTCGGGACTTTTTTCTTTTTTTTATGTTCCACGTAAGGGAAGGGAAGGGGGGGGGAGAGAGAAATCTAGAGACGTACGTCGCCTGTCTGTGTCTTCTTGATACAGCTTTCTAGAGAAAGAGAAGCAGGGGGGGGGGCAGCCGCTGAGATAGGAAAAGCCCGGCCAGAAGCGCCTCGGAGCAACCCAGCCTGTTCTCCCTACAGCGGCGGGGGAATTACATAGGAACTACGGGTGGAGCAAGCGCTGGATATTTTTTTTTTTTAATGGCTCCCGCCAGCTGCAGCATCGCCCGAAGCCTGCCTCTTTTGTATTGAGAGGGATTATTCCTTGGCTGGTTCGAGGGTCCTTTGCTGCCAAGCGGACACGAGTAAGTCCTTTCCCCGGCTG